ATTGCTAAAGCAATGGCGATATGCAGAATTCATGAGATTTACAAAATTCAATAACTGCACTAATTCAAAAACAATGATAATTCTTTAATTCTATCTATAAAAATTCCAGTAAACTAGATTTTAACCTTTGTACAAAATTTAATTCTCATCTAGGTTGCACCGCGCATACAATACAACTTGCGTTGGGAGATGGATTTGATGATACTAAAGTTAGTAACTTAATAAGTAAAGCAAAAACATTAAATAGTTATGTCAGTGGTAAAGATAAATACCGTGAAAGCCTTCATGAATTACAAGCTGAATTAAATCCGCAACACCAAGTTAATCCTCTTTCAAGTGATACAAGAACTCGTTGGAGTTCAACTTATAATCTTTTAAAAAATCTTTTTCTTCTTCGTAATGCTATTATAAGATTGGCCAATAACTTAAAACAAAATATTAATAGACAAGAACAACAAGATGGGACAAAACTTTCAGATCTTCTCCTATCAACAGAAGAATGGAGTTCAATAGATAAATTAGCAAAACTTTTATATCCTTTTGCATAGGCAACTGGATATATTGAAGGAAGCCAATATCCCATTTTGGGAATGATGATTCCTACTCTTATTAAGCTCTCACGTCATTTAAGAGAATTTTATTCCACTATCGCTTCACAAACAGTAAGAACCTGCTGCAGTACAATCAACCAATCGATGCTGTCAAGGTGGTCTGAACCATCATCTCATAGTCTAATAGCTGCCTTTTTGGATCCGAGATTCAAACAAATAAATTATGTAACAGCTAGTAAAAAAAGAGAAACCATTGCTCACCTTTGTTCTTTATTTAATATACAAGAAAGTTCTACTTTTATTTCAGATTCCCAACCTTTAAACACTAACTCATCATCTTTTTTTTCTTCTTTTTATGATGATGATTATATTATTCAAAATGAAACTGAAAATGTGTCATTAATTGAAAAAGAAGTAACACTTTATGATAGTTTACCTCAAATTTCTAAATATTATATAATGGATGAAGAATATTGTAAAGTTAATCCGTTAATTTGGTGGAATGAACATAAAGCAATGCTTCCCCTTCTTTCTCAACAAGCAAGAAAATACTTGGCCTTTCCAGCCACATCAGTTCCTTCAGAAAGAGTTTTTTCAACTGCTGGCAATACAATTACTAATAAGAGAAATCAATTAGATTCTGATACAGTTCATGATTTATTGTTTCTTAAAGAAAATTCAAAGATCTTTACCATGTACCCAGGTTTAGGTAAAAAATTTTATTAGTTTCACGGCATAATACAAGTATTTCTACTAATAAAATTTTAATATAATTAGTTAAAAAATAGAAGGCATTGATTTTTTCTAATTAGTTATAGATGTGATAATATAAATATACATATAGTTAACTCTTTCTAAACTGGCAGAACATTTAGAACATTTGTAATTTTTATTAATATAAGAACTGAACGTTTAAAAATCTTGTATATAAAAATTCAATCTACCATAGTTGGAATAAAAAGAGTTAACTACTATAAAATATAAGAACTTTAAATATATTAAAAATAAATTCTGTATACTTTTATACGTTAAAACTCAACTTTTGAAAGCAAGCACAGTCATTTTAGATTAGTTCTTCGTAGTTTCTTGAAATGTAGCAGAAATTTCAAAGATCTTAATCAAATCTTGAAGCTATAAAATAAAATAACAGTAAAACTGTAATTACC